TCACTTTTTTAGCGTTATTTATGTAACCGACGTTAAATAATTAAAATCAACTTCATTTAGCGTCATTTAATTAACCGACCCAAACATTTTTTTTCTGTTTAAGTGTATCCTTTTTAGAGGTTTGTGTATAAAAAATTCCCGAAATCCAAACTTAAGAACATTCCGAGCAATCAATTCCTCTCGTCGCTTTGCGCTTCGCTCGGATTCGTTCGAAATTGATCCTCTCTCTGTTGGTTCTCAGATCGAGAGATGCGAAATCATACCTCAGTTCATTCATACGGTTTGTTTTCTCTGTCGAACGTTTTTCTTCCCTAATCTCTCGAGGTCGTTAAGATTTGTTTGAGAATTCGTTCTGTTTTTGATTCTAACGCTGATTTTGAATTTTCGTCTGATGATAAGATGGATTCGTGAAGAAATTCCGGTGGTGAATCTCAAATTTCAGAAAGCGTAATTTGAGTTTAAGATACTTTTTGTTTTGGATTTGTGTTTGTTTCGATCTTTCTTCGTTTATGTGGTGAATTTTGAGAAGTATGTGGTGACATTCAATCCTCTTTTGATATGATTCAAAAGTGTTGTTTCAGTTTTTGAGTTATATCTCTTGTTTCAGGGTTATCAAATTCATCTCTGTAGTTGTTGGTGTGCGTAGCAATATCCGTGTGATTCATGGCTTCTTAGGTGATTTCTACTCAATATTTAGCTTACGAATCAGCTGCCTTTGACATCAACTGTTATTATTTGTGTGGTTTTGTTTGATTCTTGTTTCTCCAATAAGATGAGATCAGTTTTAATATGGAGATGAAGTAGTAATGGTCTCTTATGCTTCTGTTTCTTCATTATTTGGTAGTAATGGTCCCTTGTGCTTTTGTTTCTTCATTATTTGGTTTTGTGCAAGTAATTAAGAAAACTTGCGGTCTCTTTCTTACATTATTGTGATGAATGAATTCACAGGACACAGAGACCTGCACCTGCACTTTGAGAGGCAAAGATTGGCAATTTGCACTTTTATTGAGGGTTAGTGGACTCTCTTTCTATTTTCGTTTATCATCCCTTTTTCCAATTTGCACTTATAGATAGTTGTCTTTGGCAGAGAAAACAAATGACAAGGATCAGTTTCCTTGCGTGGTTTTGTTTGATTCTTGGTTTACTTCAATTTGAGAGGCAAAGCTTGGTCGACTTATGCTTCTGTTTATTTGGTTTACTTCAATTTGAAGATGAACTAGTAATGGTCTCTTATGCTTCTGTTTTTTTAGTATTTGGTTTTTTGCAAGTAATTAAGAAAAATTTTGGGTCTCTTTCTTAAATTATTGTGATGATAAATTTACAGGAGACAGACACTTCCACTTGAGAGGCAAAGCTTGGCGGTTTCAAGGACACAAAGACCACTTGTAATGAGGGTTTGTGGACTATCTCTTCTATTTCGTTTTTTATCCCCTTTTCCATATTGCACTTATATAGATGGTTTTCTCCATTGATAGAGAAAACAAATGTGATCGCAAGTGAGGCTACTGACATTGTAATGGCTACTGCTCTATATCTTTCCAATAAAAATTTGTTAGTATGGTTATGGGGCTGGTTTTCCAGTATCCTAAATGTACTATGCACTTGTTAATGATATTTAAACCATTATGTTGGTGCAGGTGATAAAGTTTGAACAAGCATTTCTCCAAAGACTATTACTTCAGAAAATGTAGCAAACCGCACTCATGTTTCAAAGGATTGGCAGGAACCTGATGTAACTCGAGACACTGATTCTTTTGTGGATGAATTTTTTTAAAAAATTAGTTATATTCGGTGTAAAACTGATTTAATTTCATTAATCTATATTTTTATTGGTTAATTTTCAGATTTTTAGTTTATTTAAAATTTATTTGTATTTAGTAAGAATACATCGAAAAGAAATAATACTCTATTTACGTCGGTTATTATACTGTCGCTAAACTCCAAAAAACCGACGCTAATTTTTTAACGTAAAACTTTACGTCGCTTGCATAACTGACGCTAATAATCTTAACGACGGCCATTGTTACGACGGTTGTGAAACCGACGTTAGTATTTTAGTGTCGTTTAGTTACCGACGTTAACTATTATATTAACCGACGTTAGGAGCCGTCTTTCTTGTAGTGGCGCGCGCGCGTATATATAGATAAAAATTAATTTGTCTTCGTATGATATATGAAAATTCTATAATATCAAACATTTTATTTCGAATTTAGTTTTCTAAATTAAGTTGCAATCCTATCCAACCCCCCTCCCCACACTCTAATTAAACAAAAACCTGATGATATATAATACAAGAATACCTTCCCATCAAATAATTCTATTGGCCGGATGGACTATTAAATATGCTTTGTGTGGGATAATGTTTCCATTTAGTTATTTTTATTTACAACATACTTATCTAAAATAACTGAAATTATGATATTGGTTAAACATTGATCTCTTTCAACACGATCATTTTTGCTAATTTGATGATATACTGCTTTGAATTATCTGGTAAATTTTGAATCATAACAAATGAAATTAAAATCGCTAAGGGAATGACATTTGGTTTGATTTGCTTATGGTTTGGAAATGTAGAATGATATCCTTTGTGTAATAGGTTTTCCGAATACTAATTTGTTGCTTTTTTTTTGGGAGTGTTATATGTCAATGTTTACTATGATTTCATTTATTCCAAATTAATAACAGTTGACAAAAAAAAAAAAATAATGGATATGTGGCTAGTCTTTGGCATGTCAATTAGGGTCAAACTCCGAATCCCACCCCGGCCCAACCCTTAAAAATACCAGGTTCGGGCCTGGCCTGAATGTATAAGCCCAAAAAAAATTGGGTCTTTCGGGCAAAACTCATTCGGGTTATTGAGTTTTTGGGCTTTAGCCCTGTTGGGCTCGGACCGGCCCGGAAAACCCAAAAATAAACATATAATTTATAAATTTAGTAATAAATTTTGTTTAAAGATAATTTTTAAAGATAACTTGGTTAAAATAATTTATATATATGTAGTTCGTTGACCAAAAACTCTTACTCTACTACTTGGACTTTTGGTATTTTGCTTATGTTTTATTTGACAGTACTATTTATTTATAGTTATTTGAATTCATTTGACGTTTGCATTCATTTGGTCACACTTTTTCTTTTCATTAAATTAGATTTCGATAAAAACATATTGGTAGTTATTTAAATTTGGATTTATTTTGCTAAATAATATTTGTTTCTAATTTATTTTTATTTTATATATAAATACGAAAAAATCCATAAAGCCATGTAGCCTTGTTCGGGCCGGGCCGGACTTTGAAAAATAGGTCCGAATATTTTTCAGACCGGACCGGGCCGGACTTATATATAGGCGGGCTTTACGGATTTCGGGCCGGACCAGGCCGGGTTAACCCGTTTGACATGCATATTGCCGCCTCTGCTAGCTCCAAAATAGATTTTTTTTTGGGGGTCAAAACGCTTTAAATTTCATAAAACGGGAGGAACCGGTACAAGATGCAGGATTGCTTTTGCTAAAGCATCGGCATTGGTATTTTGTGACCTTTGAACATGCACAAAAGTTGAAATTTTTAGATCGAGGGAGAGAATGGAGATGTCATGGAAGATTCCATAGATCTCAAGAGCTTGATTCTTCGATTAGATTAATGAAAATGTGTTTATATGCGTATAAATATTAACTTATGGTCTAAAAGAATATATGGGTCTTGATCTATAACCTTTTTAGTTAAGGAAAAAATATGTAATTATACAATTGTTAAATTAATGAAGAATTTAATGTACAACTTTCTATGTGAAAGAATTGTAGTGTTTAATTAAACTTAGATTTTATATAAAGATTTGGTTTTGTCTCCAGATCATGGAAGATAACATAACAAATTGTGTCTTTGTTGCTGTAACGATTTTGATTTTCGATTATAAATGCTTAAATGCAAAAGATTACATCCGTTCATTTTAAATTCAAGAATCACATACGAGAATATCATAATGCAAAAATTATGAACCATACTGCTATATACATGTGCACTATTTTGCTCATGATTTAGGCTTTCGGAAATATAATCCAAAACCAGACATGATTAGTTCGAAGTGTGACGACAAGCCAACGTTCCAATTTATATTTCTTAAAAGTTTTTTTTTTGGTAGACAATCCTTATGATGTAGCTGAAAAGTGGCTTATGAAATTGAAACGAAAGCTTGTACATCAGCAGTCAATTGTTGAGTTGATTATAAAAGAATCTGGGAAAAAGTATGTCATCCATTTTCTCGTGATCATTCTACACCAGCAACCAGTTCTGATACGGTCCTAGAATTGAAAACGATGCTTGTTGTGTCTACATAAATGTTGAAATTGGAATAAAAACTAATGTTTTTGGCACCTTGAGAAAAAATTACCCATTAAGTCATAAACTCTAGCTGAAAGTAAGTTTTCATGTTTGTTTTATATCATAAAGAAAACATGGTTTTGCTTATACATTCATCTTATTCTAATGTTTCTAGAATCAAATTTAATGTCATATAGAACTAAGATAACAAAAGTAGAATGGTCACTATATATATGTTTCAAGAAATATTATACACATCAACCACACAAAACAAAATATCTCTCTGGATACACTAATCAATATTATTAATTAAATTACCCTCGTATAGCAATGAGTTACGAAAGTAAAACTGGCTAAACAAACAAAAATATTCTCTACTACTACGATTACTAGTTGATGCCAACAAGTAAAAGAAAAGTTCTTATTCAACAAGTAAAATGATTGCATTTTCAGTGTAATAGATTTTCGGAGTTCTAGCTTGTTGATTTCTTTCTTTTGTATTATATGTCGGTTCTATGATGTAATCCATTCCAAATCAGTAATATTCAGATGACAAAAAGATAGATATCATTGTTGGTATATTGCCAGTCTTTGCAGCCTATGCTAGCTCCAAAAGAGTGATGCAAGGAAAAGCATGTAAATTATACAAGAACTAGACATCAACATCATAATCAGTTGGCTAAGAGACCTTAAGATCCAAAGGTTGAGATTCAAGTTTCGCTTGGTATAAAACCATATTGCATGTTATCTCTGGGCCCAAAAACTTCATTTACACAAGAGTTATGTATTCAGAAGTCAAATGTAAATATGAATTGGTTTACTAGAGGAAATATGAATACCTATATCAAACCGGTTGGGTTGGTTAAACTTCGCAACCCAATTCACTTCTTTCTTGTTTGTTCCCCGTTATAAACCGTACTGACCGTTTGATTTTATTGTACGTTACAGAAGTGTTGTCTTTTAGTTCAATCATAATAATCTAGACCCAATTATTTAGAGAAATTTTAAAAAATGCCATTTTTCAAATGCCACTTTACAAATGTCACACTTTTGAAATCTTTACAAAAATGCTACTTTTTCAAAATTATTTTTTTCTTTATATTATTTATGTTTGGGTTAATTATGTTCTGTTAGGGTTTAATTTTGAGTGTTTAGGGGGTTTTAGGTGTCAAAACATGTTTTAGGGTTTAGAATTTTAAGATATATGCTCTATAAATCTATAATTAGT